TATCTTTTACGTCTGAAAAATAGGAACAATTGCTCAGACTATTATGTGAGGGTTAAGTGGATGATATGTAAATTGCCTTGCCCAAGCTGCTGAGAGACCCTACTGGAGCTGTAAAGGATCTGCATTTTCAGGAATGTGAAAAGTCTTTGCTTGTGTTGATATTGGGTTACAGTGCTAGTCTCGTTCCAGAGGAAGCCCATTGAGATTGCTTGCAAACAACTTACTACGTCTGTGACCTTGGGCTTGTCACTTAACTCTCCAGGCCTCAGTTTCCTCATCTCTAAAATGGGGGAAAATACTTCATAGGGCTGTGGTGAAAGTTAATGAAATACTTAGGTCAATATTTTATATTGACAGACTTTGAAAGATAAAATGGGATGCACAGTATTGCAATCCGAAATTAGGCAGATAGCTGAGAAAAAGCAAATGCTTCCATGGTTTCCCCAGCAGTGTTTAGTTAATAGTCACTTGCAACAGGCAACTGGTTGGAGTTGCCATCCCGGCAATTGAGTAGGTCCTGACAGTGGACATCCTCTCCTCCAGCCCCTGTTACTTGGCCATCTTTACTGAGCCGTTGTCCCTGCACAGTCGCCATGAGATGGCACTATGGGGATGTGCATGGCCAAGTTTGCTTTTCTCCCACTCATTGTTGTTCTTTCAGGCTGAAAGCAAATTGGAACGGTTTTTATTTTATTTTACTTTTTTAGGTTTTGTGCCCTTTAAATATTCAAGGACTTCACCGATAAGAATACATTTAAGGAAAATTCAATGCATATGAAGTGTAAGGCACATTTTTCATAGCTTGAATGGCCTTTAAATGATGAGAAAACTGAGGCTAACAGGAGAAACCGTGTTTTTTATTTCTCTTAGTATTCATCAATTGAGAGCTAGCCTGGTAAATACATTTTGAATCCTAAGGTATATAGTAAATAAGTTGATTTGGAATCTCAGCAACCTTTATGATATAAATTATTCATGCTGTTGTGGGTAGCACATGTTTCCTGCATAATATGTATGTATATTTTATCATAGTTGCAACATTTTTCCATTTGTGTTATACAAACAGAGGAGTGGACTCTCTAATTGTTTCTTGTTTCCTTGAATTTTGTTTATAGTGAACTCTTGTGTGGCTTCTCAAGTAATGGACACAAGAATGACTCCCGGTGTCTTCCAAGGGATAATCTAGTGAGTTTCAGGCATTTGGAGGAAAGAGATGCAACGTAGTGTAGTGGAGTGAGACAGCCCTATGTTCACATTCCATCCTGCGCTTTCCATCCCTCAGCAGAGATTCTCATTTTATGTACGTATGTGACACATGCAGCATGGCAAATGGTGGAAGCTTCATCAAATCTAGTTTCCCATCCTCTGTCCCCAAGATTCTTGGGAAAAGGGAAGTAATGAGGTAAGAGTTATGGGTAATACAGGTACTAAAAATGTGGGAGGGGTTTCAGGAACAAGATTACTGTGGCTTTCTAAATTGAGATGCTTTTGTTCATTCTCTAAGATCTGTATTTCAGATTTTTTTGGCAAGATCAGTCTTAGGTTTCCACTGACACTCTCCGTGTTAGTCAGTGATAGCTGGGAGAGGTGGTGACTGCAAGCATCCAGTAGGTTCCCCAAGCCATTCTTCCCCAGGATCTTCTACTGAATGGTGGCTTAGGTGAACACAAAAAGAGCCTTAAAGACGTTGGGTCCCTTGCAGACTCAGTACGGGACTCTGGCCTGGTGAGGGAGCCTAAGAGGAGACCAGAGCTCAGAGCAGCCTGTGTTTAGGTAATTTTAATGGGTATTATTATTATTTTTTTGCAATTAAAATCCAAAAATTGATGCAGAATTGAAAATATTTATATATGAATTCTTGGCCAATCGTTCCAGCTCACATGTGGTCTCACTGGGACTCCTAATTCTTTTAACTCTCTTTTTGGTTCCCAGCTGTAGCCATTTACAGTGTAGCTAATATGCTTTTGGTCCTCCTTCTCTTTAGGTTGCATTTTAATGACTTGAATATGTTTTTAGATATCCTGGATGTATGTCTTCCACTAATGAGAATGGACAAAGTCAAATATACCCTGGTGATTTGCTTTCGTAGAAGAGGTAGCCTCAGCAGAGAGCTAGTCCTACTAGTTAATAACTTTATTATTAATAATAATAATGATAATAGCTTAAGATCAACTACCCTAAAACATAAATCATTGTTTTTATAAAAAATTCTCTTACATTGCAATGACTTAAAGCCATCATTATACCGAAGGCCAGTTCAAGGCTTTCCCAGGGATATGTTTTTCAACTAATTTGCTTTGTAGGATTCACTAGAAAGTTACATTTATATTTTATGGGGGTAATATTTAGATTCTTTTCAGCTGTCTCAATGGAATTATTAGCAATGGTGTCTTCTGAAAAATGTCCAGACTAAAGTCTTTGTATCAAATCTATGTTATGAAGAATTAACCACCCATTTGTGTGTGTGTGTGTGTGTGTGTGTGTGTGTGTGTCTGTGTGCATGTGTGCCTCGAGAAATTTCTGTGTTGGTTTCTGAGGAAAATAATGGCCTGGCTTCAGTCTACCTTTCAGCAGAAGTGGAGCGACTATGCATCGAGACAAAAGACTTAGGAAGACTTTAAAATATCCTGATACAATTTCTAAACCATTTGCTGTTGTGTTGCTTCCTAAAGAATGTGGATTTGGGTCTGAAAAATGTCTCACAGCCAGAACAATTTGGATTATGTGATAATATACTAAGTTAAAAATACTTTTATTTGAGGAGGGGCTACCTCCTTCTGATTCACACAGAAATACCATATGAGCCAGTGATGGCCTTACAATAAACTAATTTAATAGCCATGTTGCCCAACCTTTAGTAAAAGCACAGTCCTGGTAAATCATATTCGGAGATGTTTGCTACAAGAAAATGTGGCCAGTTCAGTTCTCTAGGCCAGAGGTTTTTGTGCTGTGTCCAGTAATACCTCAAAGATCCCAGGAAAAAGAAGACAAACAGTCAAGCAAGAAAGCCCTATTTTAGTTCAGCTGGAACATTCCACTTTTATGCTTCTCAATATTGGTGTGCAATACAGAAATTTGAAGAAAAGCTTTTGTTTGCTTATCCACTTATTCTCTTCGTCCCTGGATCCAGACAGGCCATCAGAGAGCAGTATACTTGAACTCTGTTGCCTGACTCCTTGTAGAATCATTTTTTACTGATTTGTACTTTGCTACTGTACCCTTGGAGTGTTCTAGGAGGGCCCCGAGTCTCCACTGTATACACAGCTTGCCAATGGCGGTTTTATTTGATGAAGTGATGTGTTCAGCACATTGCTCAGCACGTTGTCCGTATTTATGAGGACTCTTGGGGTAAATTCCATCAGTGCTTGGGAGCAGGGCAATGGCTTCCCTTAAAACAATAAGAAAAAAGAAAGATTATATAACTTTCCCCTTCGTACATGAGGGCTATAGTAGTTGCCACTTTTCTTTGGTCGCTAGGAAGCTCACCGTCAGATTTGCTCTCCACTTCTAGCAATTTTGTGGGTAAATATTTAGGGGCAATAGCTTCTTCCCTTGATATCCTTTTACTTTTTAATCCTTTTATCCCCCCTACCTTTGTCTCAATAGATTTTCCTAATATGTGTATTGTGACAAGTTATCTCAGCTCTCCTTTACTCCAGATAGATTTTCTTGTTATCTTTTGGAAAAGGCTCCCTGGATATCTTGTAGGCACATCAGACTTAATAGTCTTTAAAGGAAATTCTTTTTGTTTTCCTTTTCTTCTGCTTTCTTTCTTTTTTTTGTGGGGAAGATTGGTCCTGAGCTAACATCTGTGTCAATCTTCCTCTATTTTATGTGTGACACCACCACAGCATGGCTTGATGAGCAGTGCTAGCTCCACGCCTGGGATCCAAACCCATGAACCTGGGGCCACTGAAACAGAGGGCATGAACTTAACCACTAAGTTCAGGAGACCATGCCCCTTTGTCTTCCTTTTCAAACCTGCCCCTCTTCTCATTTCTTCTCTTTGGTAAAGGGATCCCGTGGGTTCAGTCATCTGTTTGCAGTCTTGTTGTCTTTTTTATCTTCTCTCTCATGCATCCCATCCAATTGTTAACCAAATCCTTTATATACATCCTCTGCATTACCTTTCAAATCTCCCCTGATCATTGATTCATTCATCAATACTTGCCTGGACTATTTCACCAGTTTCCTAACTGATCTCAATTTCTCTGGTATCATCCACCAGTAATTCTTATGCACACTGGTGTCATTTAAAAGTCATTTGCCCTCCTTTGATTCCTATTGTTATTATTTGCAGAATGAAGCCCAGGTCCCTCACATGACATTCAAGGCTCTTTATAATTTGCTCCCCAACCTATGTTCTAAATTTCATCTCCATCCCTTCCTCCCTTCCCTTTGTGTCCTTCATAGCAGCCATGGGTCCACTCACCAGTTCACAAACACAAATGCATCAGCATCTCATTCTCTCAGCCTGAAATGCCCTTCCTGGCTCCTTCAAGCCCTTGTTTCCCTAAGGTTCTTCTCAGTTATTACTTTGTGTGAGATTTCCCTCTCTTTTTTCTCACCACAGAAGAACTAATTGCCTCTTCCTCAATCTTTCCATCTCACTTTTTTAATACTACCCTTAGAGTATTCCTTGCCTTATTTTGGGCTTTGCTGTGTAGGCATATCTTTCTCACAAATCATGAGCTCCTCAAGGAGTTTGGCTGAGAAGAAGGAGGGACTATACCAAGTATCTGCCAACCCTGTTCTTGAAAACAAAAGTCAATTGACTGGGAGTTTGTGGAGTCCCTAGAATTGATAATACCTTCAATGGGTAAGGATTGAAAACATGGCTAATTAACTGCTGATGTTAAAAAGTTAATATTGCATGTACTTCCTTTATGGTAATAGAAAATTTGTAATGCCATCATGAGAAAGGTTCTAGCAGTCAAAGAGAGTTTTTATAATTTCTGTAAAGAAGAAACTTATCTGATTTTCTTTTTTCTTTTAGGAATAGGCAAGTCAAGAGATTGAAAATCTGAAGAATGTTTCCAAAGGATAATCTGGCTGTCACTCACTGGGTATGGAGGAGCATGAGGAAGCTATTTCTACTGCTTTCTCTCTTGCTGTCCCATGCAGCTCATTTGGAAGGCAAAAAGGATAATCAGTTCATCTGGAAACCAGGTAGGAATGTCGTGACTGTTCCTTTGTCTCATTTTCATTAATGAGAAGAATATTCTTTCCATCCTTGTTCTTCTTCTTTGTGGAGTAGTGGGAATATCCAGAGAGAAAAAATAGACTCTTCTTCTTTATACTATAACTCACATTTGATTTTTATTCCTGCATGATTGTCATCTCCATTCGTGATGCTTGTTATCCTTCTGGATTTTCATGTTGTTGTCAATTAAAGTTATGATTTCCATAGTTACATCTGCTTCTCCTTCATCAAATGTATCACCACTGTACAGCACATTTGTAGCAAAAACGACATCTGAATTTAGCTGATATCCAGTTAAAAATGCTTTGGACCAGTTCTGAAGTCTCTTTCTTTTGGGGTATGAACTAGTTAGCTATTTATTATTGAATACTTTTTAGCATAGATCTTGTATATCTAATTTTGGGAGCATGAAAAATTATCCTAACAACTTGACTCATTAGTTCTGACTATAAAGTCGCCTTAATGAGTTTTAAGATCCTTAGCAACCTTGTAAATAAGTATATGAGTAAGTTGAATTGAGATTTTGAGGCTTGTATATAGCTTATGTTCTTCTCTAAATATTTCATTAATTTGGCTGTGGAAAAGATATGTTAAATTTAATTTTAGAGGCTAATACTTTATTAACTGAGATTATGAGCCCCAAATATCTTGGCTCTTTGTATCACTGATATTTTTCTTTGTTCTAGATTTTAATTTTCTTAAAGTTTCACTATCAGATCATTTAAAATATTTATTACTGTTTCAAGAGTCCATTCTTGAAAATACAGAAAAATTAAACACTTAGTATCTTGGAATGAGAAAATGTGATGTTGTGGAAGATCTATGGTTCTCAAAGAGTTTTCATTTAGTCTTATCATCTGTAAATTAAATAGACTGCAAAAGTATTGTGTCAGCATGGAAATATGTATAAAAGTGATATTTGTAATATTTAAATGACTTTGAAAAAATGAAAGTGAATTATGCTTTAAAGTGTATTAAGTAAAAAACCCAGTGCCATTAGAGATACAGTCTGGAGGAAATTTAATTGCATTAAAGCCCCTATAAATTAATTCAATTGGAGCTCTAATACCATATTAGTGATTTGCATTTTTTACCTCACAGTAGTTTTAGGAAGCTCTGAAAATAGTTCTAAAATTTAATATTGCATTTCTGTGAATGGGGCTATTTTGTTTCAATCACAAAAGACTAAACATTTTCTCAAATCTCAGTAAGCACATTTATATGACTGTACGCCTGTCGAGTTGTCAAAAAGTGCAATTAAAATGGAAAGTAGCAAATCTGAAACACAAATGAGATGTGTTAAGAAAATGGGTCTATTTTGAAGCAAATTTTAAAAATGTCCGCTTTTCTAAATGTAGGTCATTGGAACAAGATGGCACAGACCCACTCCACAGTGGATGAACACCTTGATAACTGTCAAACTGAAGTTTCAGAGTGAAAATCCTTCTTATCAGACACATTGCATTGTTCAAAATGAATGTCTGCGTCGTCACTCTCTTTTTCCCTGGTTTTCATTTCTTCTTTTCCTTCTTAATATGCCCTAGAAAAGGGTAATGTTAGATATTTTTCCTCTTTGGTCTCACTTATAAAATTTATTGCTTGCATATGACTAGACACTTTAGAAGTAGAAAAAATTTAAAAGTTACAAAATTAAAAGAAAAAGTCCAGCCGATGTATTCTGTTCTCCAATCTCTTATGTATCCTTCAGAAATTTCCTTACGCATATAAATGCATCTCTATGCGTATTTATATATATAAATCACACAAAACACACACTCACACACACAAAGTATTGCTGTTAATAATTAGAGTTCTGCCAAAGAATAAATGGTACACACAAGGGAGGTAATTGAGAAGAGTTTAATAGAAAAACTATTTATGAAAGTGGGAAAGTGTGAGCAGGGTTTAAGAACAGCTACAAGGAATTATGGATTGTCCTGAGCTAGTATCAATCTTTATGACTTCTGGGTCTGCAGGGGAAACAAAAGGAAGTGGGTTCTGGAATCTGGAGAGAAAACTTTATGGAGAGGATGCCTGACAGATGCTGTGGCCTTTAGAGGGATATAACCAACCTGCAGTGAAAAGTAGGAAGGGGGCCAGGAGACTGAACAGCCCTTGCTCCCACATCCCTGCCAGGGCTCCCCTTGGCTGAATCCAACCAGAAGCCACAAGGCAAGGGAGCTCATTGATGTATCCGTACAGAGTGGCCTGCTGGGCAGGGAGCAAAGTGGAGAATGTGGATCTGAAAATGACTAATTCATACATACATATACGTTCATATATACACACACTTTGCTTCGTACAGTCAGAATCATGCTTTTATCGTATAGCAATGTCTTGATGAACATGACATATTAGTGCACATGGATCAATTTCATCTTTTAATGGTTGTATAGTATTTGTTTTTTATTTTTATTCAATAATTTATTTAACCAGTGCCTTTTTGCTCTATGTTTCTTCTCCTGTTGCTTGGCATTTCAGTGGTTTTTAGTTTTTTGCTACTGTAAATAATGCTGACATGAACGCAACATTATTTTAAAGGTAAGCAATAAGTCAATTTGAGGAGTCCTATGCTCTAGAGCAATTCTGGGTCATCACTTTCAAAGACAACCTCAACATCTTAGAATCTGTTACCTGCTTATGTATGAATTTATTATATTTAATTTGGATTTTTTAAGAAACTGTATTGCAGTTGAAATTAGCTGTATTTTTGATGTATGTTATCAGATCCAATACCTCAGGTCCAGTGTAATCTGGAATTTGAATGGATTTCCATGGAGACCCAGATAAATATACTTTTTTTTTAGAAACCTAGAAACCATTCTCTGGCTTTAGATTTTAGTGTCAACCACTTAAGTGTCAACACTTTGCTGGTGTCTGTTGTTTTTCCCCTGAGTCCATAGGTTAGATATTAGTCAACCTCATCCAAATTAGAGGCATTTACGAGTGAGTGCTGGCTTTGGAAAAACAATGGCTTGATGAATACTAAGTGAATGATATATTATGTTGCTAGGGATTTGTGTACTGAGTGAGAGTCTGGTGAACTGTAGACTGTGGGGTCACTGATCTGACAAGGCTGTTGAATGCCTGTCATCGTTGTGATGAGATCCTCTGATCTATATTTACTGTCAGGCAATCTGTCATTCATGCCAAGAAAGAAGGATCATGTCAGCAAGAGTATCAGATAAGGAGTGATGTTGCTAGTTGTTTTAAGTAGATATGTAACTATTCATGTCTGCATGGTTTGTAGAGATGAACAGAGCATGGTCTCTAGCCACAGTAGCCAGTGGTCTCTTAAAAATATTCCTCACTTTTTGGTTCTAAGAGGTTCATTCATTCCACTAAGACTTGTCTAGTCCTTGCTATATTTCAGACATTGTTATAAGCATGTGAGATAAGTTCAGATTAAAAGAGACAAATCCACGGTCCTCATGAACAGGGTAATAAACATGATCAAGAAGTTAAATACAGAGTATGTCAGATGATGGTAAGTGCTCAGGAGGAAGGATAAAACAAGGAAAAGGGATATACAGTGATAGATGAGAGACTGAAACTTTAAGTAGGTGGGCTAGAGGATGCCTCACTGAGGAAGGGCATTTGAGTAAAGACCTGAAAGAAGTGGGAGAGCCAGGCATGGGGATATTGAAGTGAAGAATATTCCAGATGGAGGAAACAAGGACAAAAGGCCCTGAAGCAGGAGCGTGTGTGGCATGTTTGAGGACCAGAGAGGAGGCCAGCCTGCTGGAACAGAATGAAACATCAAGGACAGTGATTGCAGATCGAGTCAGAGAGGTAAGGGTATGTCCTCACAGGTTGAAAAACAATTTTGGCTTTCTCTGGGTGAGATAGAAAGACATTGGGGAGTTTTGGAGAGTAATGACATGATCTGACTTTCTTTTTAATAAGATTTTAGTAGGATCATTGTGAGTGGTCAGTTGAGAATGGTGGAAGCAGACCAGTTAGGAGACTACTGCAGAAATAAAGAGTGTGATGATAATAGCTTGAACCAAGGTCATGGCAGTGAAGGTGGTGAGAAGGGGTTGAATTTTGGATATATTTAAGCCCATAGTTTTCAACTAGGGGTGATTTCCCTCTGCAGGAGACATTTGGTAATGTCTGGAGATATTTCTGGTTGTCACAACTGGGGTGTGCTACTGACATTTATGAATAGAAGCCAGGGATGCTGCTAAGCATCCTCAGATGCACCAGACAGCCCCCTACAACAAAGACTTATCAGGCCCCAAATGTCCCAAATTGTGCCCAGATTGAGAAACCCTGATTTAAGGTAAAGCTGTCATGATTTACTGATGGGGGGTGGGTGGCAGGGGGCAGGGAGGGAAAGGGTGATACTGAGGCTTTGCCCTGAGCAATTATGAGAGTGGAGTTGCCTTCATTTAGTATGTGCTGACTGGAAAGGAGCTGGTGTGGAGCGAATATTAGGAACCTGGGATTGGACATTTTTAAATTTTGGCTTTCTGGAAATTCATGTGGAGAGGTTGACCAGGCAGTCACATATTTGGGTCTAAATTCAGGAGAAAGATCTCTACTAGAGATGTAAATTTGCAAGTCATTAGCAATGAGGTAGAATTTAAATGTGCAGCCTTAGAAATGAAGAAGTGGCCTTGAAATTTGTGATCCTGCATATGTATAGGGTAAGTTTCTAATGTACTTCCTTTGGGCTAAATGACATTTAAAAAACTTATTGTGGTAAAAGATACGTAACATAAACTTTACCATTTTAACCACTTTAAAGTATACAATTCAGTGACATTTAGTATATTCACAGTGTAGTAGCAACATCACCGCTATCTGGTTCCAGAACATTTTCATCACTCCAAATATTGCATTTTGCAAGTGAGTTTATAAAAAGACGGAAAAACAAATTTTGTTGTGAATAACAAGGTCTTAAAGAAAAAAAGTCTTTATTTATCTCTCTGTGAGAGCTTCTTTTAATAGTCTTGTCATC